TGTTCAACTTTTACATCTAAGGATTGAAAATTTAAAACAAGATAAAAACCTAAGTAGTTTATTCTGTTACTAAAAAATCTATAAAATACAGAAGGACAGTTTATTTTTATAGTAATTTTAAGTTCAAATTTGAACCAAATTACATAATAAAAAACCTAGAACAACTATTTTAGTTATTTTGTTGTGACTTGTGATTGTATAATATTATTCGTTTGTACTTGAAACTTCTAAAGTATACTACTATATTATATGATATATCTATGATATATCTAGATATGTCTGATGGCACGGAATGAAGGTGTTCTGAAATAAAGCAATTTTTACCGATTTCATGTACCGTACTATTTTCCCATCAATAATTGCAGCGGTGCATTAATGAAGGCGCAATAGGTAACTTAAATCGCGGAAAAAAAGTCAAGATAAAAATGAATGAAAATATATCAAAATTGAAGTATAAATATGTTAAAATTGTATTGAAAAATACATTAAAGTTATATAAAAAATCATATAATATCATAAAAATTGTTAATTACTTACCTACTTAAATCACATATTAAAATATAATAAAATTTAATTTAATACAAGTCTAAAATAATAAAATGCAAAACAATACCTATTCAATAATAAATACAATTATAGTACCAATATAATTTATTAAAATAATAATGCTATAAGCTAAAATGAAATATTATAATTAGGTAGGTACACCTCTTGATCTCTTTCTTATTTTATGACTTACGCCTGTTAAAAATGCCTGTTTATAGGTATACATATAGGTAACTTATTATTATACCAAAAAACGTTTGTTTTTATGTAATGTTCCTAATCAAAGTTCAAGTTATAAGTATCTATAGTTATAGACTATAGTAATTTCGAATATTTAGTCTACTATATTCGAAAAAACCATTGAGAATGAATTCCTATTATAAAAAACTAACATTTTTTAAAAATGACCTTTCAATTTACGTAACATTTTTAATGTACGTAACATTATTTATTAAGTTTATATCAATAAAAATAAGTTAAGTTAAATTAGTAAATTAAATTTTAAAAAGTAAGTTAACATTAACTTAAACTTTAACTTTTTAACGTGTTTATGCCCAGGCTTGTCAATTTTGATAAATTTTCATTCATTTTTTTTTTCTTAGTGTGGGACTTTTTTTACCGGGACTTTATTTCCGATTACCCAAAACTTATATCCGTGGCCCGTGCTCAATACCATGCTCACTGCTCGATACAGATTCTGATATAGATAATAAACAAGATTGCTAACTAGAGATATAAAGTTATTTTCCTCCATTTTCAGTAAGTCAAATGCACGCTGAATAAAAAAATTAAAATTCTTTTTAAAATGTTTGAAATGTAAATTTTTTTTTGACATTTCATTATTGTCACAATAAATTGAATAGAGATGCCTATCAGAAAGTTTATGTTGTTCGCAAAACTGGTCGGTTGGTTTACTAACCCGTAATGATAGATAGCGTTTTCACTTTTGTTAAATCCAGCATGTAATATTTGTATTGTTATAATATTACTCATGAATTATTTAAGACAAACCAAGATGCTGGTTTACAATATTAAGTATGATGTATTATTCCTCACAAAAGTACTACCCTCCCACTAATATATATTAGTGGATTATATTTGTGCAAATCAGTTCATTAATTTATGTAGTATATATTGTCATATAAGGGTTCCATAGACAAGATTATTGAGTCGACTAGTAATATAACATAATCATTAGTTCATTAAATCAATATTTCTAGGTTGTCCACTGTTTGTTTCCATTTCACATAGGACCCTCATATATATGGATATATCGAAAATATCTTGTACCACGGTCCACTACACGACATAAGGAAATAAGGACGACATTATTATAACATATAATTAACATTTATACTTCATAATGTACCGTACCAGCGTGATCACGATTTAAAATAATCGTGGTTATTATCTCGTCGTAATTTTTCTCGTTTTGAATCTTATCACCGTAACAAGGGGATTACCTTGCATCATACTTCTTTGACCTTAGTATTTTTGATAACAATGGAACCATGTTATCTGATCGTTGCGCATTATTTCCATATTCAATTATGTCTACTATGATTATTGTCCTACACATTATTATTTTTTAAGTTACATTGTGTTATCAATTATCACTGTATTATAAATTAATATTTACGCTGTAATAGGTGTCTGGTGTTTATACTTTATTTTTATTTTGTACTTAAATTGTTAATTTGTTTGGTGTAACAGCGAATTAATTACTGAAATATAATAGTATATTTATTCACATTTATGATGAATGTACGGCTAGTGATTTTGGTTGATGAATTTAACCAGGTAAGGTCAATTTCGAACAAGCTAATTTTTAACATACTTTCTTATTTTGTTTTTGAATCAACGTGAATAGCATAGGTAAACAACGATGCCGTTAAAATTCAACCACAAAACTTTAGTTTTTCAACATTATTAACCCGTCGTTGGTATCGCTATGTAAAGTCCCGCCATTGGTATTGAGTGAGCGCTGCGCTCACCTTGTTGTTTTTTCATCATTATTTATTATATAATGAACATAAAATATTGAAACCAACAACGAATTATTTATAGTTAAATCTTTTACAAAAAATGTTCTTACAATTTTTCTCGATTATAAATTGTTAACCACTAAAAATTAATTTATAATTTTTTATACATAATTATATAATAAGATAATCATTATCATTCATCTTCGCCTTAGTGGTCTGGAATATTTTGCTGATTATTATACAGTACACATATAAATGTTGGGTGCTACTTAAAAATAGGTCTGAGTTTACGAAAAAGTATTTGGTTGACCTATTGAGTGAGTGAAACGCTGAATTTATGGATATTAACAACATTGCATGTCGATATCTAATCAAGAATTATTTATACAATTTTTATATTTGCAAAAGTATACTTAAATATGTGTCGATTGAAGGTATAAATAGTATCAGATGAATCAAGTAATAAATAAACAAATGGCTCTCAAAATACTAACGAGGTGAGCGCAGCGCTCACATCGCGACCACTGACGGGTTAAGTAAAAATGATCTTCAGAAATAATTTGTAACACATTTAAAAAATGTACCATTCATTTATCCTTATAGGTCATTTTTTGTTATAATGCCATCTGATTTAATTCTAAATATCTCCAAATACCTGCATTGCAATTTGAAAGTAAGGTCATCATTTGGAAACAAAATGGATGAATGTGGGTAAAACAAATTATAGTTTAACTCTAAATACATTCCTATATCAAAAGTAACCAAAATTATAAATTATTATATCAGTTAATTTTTCTAATAATGATTTCTAAATAACATTTGGTATAAATCGGTTACACCCTTGTCAAGTCCATTACACAATTGTTCATTAGTAATAGCCAAATAATAACATTTATATTATTTTCTTGTAAATACAACGGTCAACATAATATTAATGATAAAATATAGAATTCAGCATTGTATAAAGATTAATAATAATACTAAGTAAACAATGGTTTTGTTTCCTTTAGTTCTCACTGAATAGATTTTTTTTTATGTTAATAGAGTTAAAATATATATTATTTTGTTTAATGTTGGTTTTATATTATTTATAATTAATTATTCAACAATGTTTTATATTTGTATACATTAGGATTAATCAAGTAACAAAAATTAAACATTTATTATAAGTACCATATTTATAATTTGTCTAAAAAAATGCATGCAGTTTTTAAAACTATAGTAGAATCTGCCTATTTAGTTCATCAAGGACCTAGAGAATCAGACCATTAATCCGGATGACATAACATACTGCATGTGAGATTTACAACCAATCAAGTACATGGCTGTGAATTGTTTTATCAGGAACATATTTATATACAGTCGAATCCACTTAATTGGGACACATCGGGCAGTGACCTGTTTGTCCCCATTATCCTGACTGTCCCGATTAACCGAAGAATTTTACATACAGTACATTCATTCGGGACTGTTATTAATGTCCCATAAGCAGGTGTCCCCTTTAAGCAGATTCTACTGTATTGTATCGTAATAAGCATATTCTACTGTATATTTTTGAAATTAAATTTTACTTTCCTTTATTTTAGTCTTAACATTTTATTTGATAAGAAAATTGTGTATTTTTTTTTTTACATAAATAAAATTAGCTTAGCTAATTAAAAGTTTGTTGTTTTACATATCAACACTAATGTTATATAGACATCTAAAAAATATTAAACCTATTACATTCAGTCATTGTCATATATTATCCATTTTATTAGCTTAATAAGTGTTTATATGCATGCGTGTGTTTGTTATGTGTTATTTACCTATTGTTTTAACTATTTTAGTCAATTAAATTACTACTATATTTTTTGAAATTTGTATGTATTCAAAAAAAAAAATGTCTTATATCAGAAACTGCAAAACAAATGAAGAACATTAACTAACTCAAATACTCTTATTATTTTATTAGATGATTTGAACTATTTTAATAGGTATTTTTAGAAAACGTATAACATGTCTTACTATTTATAACTTATGTACCTACAGTAAACTCTCAATTATCTGTGGTCTTCTACGGAACTATATCTACAGCACAATAAATAGTGTTACATATGTTTTATACATCTTAAATTAATGTTTAAATTAAAATACAACGTGTACATAACTAATTTTCTTGAAATACTATTCAATATTAAATAATATAATTTTTTTTTAATAGGTAATATAACAATAACATTTTTGTGTCAATTTATAATTTGTGTATTAACTATGGAATTTGCTTATTTGTGGTTGCCTTGCTACTTTATTCTGTCGATAATCGAGAGCTTACTGTATATTTGTTATTTGTAAATAAAATAATAAAATATTTGGTAATATTATGTTTCAGAAGAGTTAAAAGTGGACACCTATAACATTTTTGAAACTCAACGTTTATAGTATAATGTAAATAATTTTGTTAAACTTGAAAATTTTTTTTACTACATCATGGCTACTATTGAAGAAATTGATGAAGCTGAACAACTTAGATTCTTAGCATTAAAATCTATGGTGAGAAGGTCCACCAAAAAAAAAAATATTCCTAACACTGATCCTGATGATCAAGATATATTATTACTAAGAGCAGCTGCGCTAAAGACAATTAACAATAAAAGTTCTCTAGGTAATAAAGACGAAAAGCTTGGTAAAAATACATTAATAAATGAAAAAAAAAGAAGTATAAGTAGCCAGGTGTCTCCATTAGCAAGTAAAAAAACCATCAAACTGACTGATATGAAAACTAATAATTTGGTTAACAATTTTACTAGCAATACTAGTATAGGAAATACCATAAGAGTTTCGAAATATGATCCTCAACAAGAATGTAAAAGTAAGCATAAGCTTGAATCGAACATTGAACCCCAAAGGAATCCTTTAGTTATCAATAAAGATGACACAAAAAAAGTTATAAGAAATGGTAGTATTCAGCTTTCAAATTTGGATTCAGAAAAGTTTAATGAAACTATGATATTACGTATAACGTTTAGTTCATCAGAAAGTGATGATTCATCAAGTGAATGTGATGTAGTTAAAAATAAGGTATATTAAATATTAATTATGTTAAGAATATATTGTTTTATTATATAACATTAATTTTTCTAAATATTTTTAAGGTAACACAGAAGAAGGATATTAACAATGGTGCATTAAAATCACCAGTACCAATACTAAATGTTGTAGATAACCATGTTGAGGCTACTGATGCTAAATCATTAGAAGATAACAAGTATGCATTGTAAATTTTATACTAAAAATAGTTTTATTAATGAATATATTAACCGTGTTGCACAATTATCATCTTGATGTGTTAAATTATAATGTTATTGCTGGTTGAAGGTCTATGACATTGCTACAGATTTATGAAATTGAACTTTTTAAATATCATTTTAACATAGTTATTATAGCTTAACATTTTCAATAAGTAAATACCTACTTTTTTATTTTTTTTTTGCCATTAGTTGTATAATATTTAAATCTGAATAATCTAGAAATATTTTTTCCATCTGATTTTTATTTTGTGTGATAGACAATAGCCGACCAATCTGATTTATATAATATGTAATTTGAAAGCATTTCATATTAACTTTCTTTTATTTGCTTAATTTGTACTGACATTTTTTTGGTTGCTTTATTTTAGAAAAATATTAGTAAAACACCTACCTTTGATAACAATTAATAATATATTCACATTTTAGTTATTCCATTATAATGCCAGTTATATATATATATTTGCATTATATAATTTAATAAATGTATATATTTACATTATATACATTTATTTATCAAAAATTGATATTATTTGAATCTGTTCATACATAAATTATGTTTAAATATCATAAAGTTGAGCAGGTAGTGGCTAAAGTTTAAATATTGTTGCTAACATTTCTAATCAATTTAGTTATCATAGGTAATTGTTAATTTTTCAGATGCGCATTATTTTTATAAAACCAAATACTGTTATTTGTACATGATAAAATAACATAGTATGATGTCAATTTAATAAAACTCATACTCTTTACCCCGCCAACCATCAGTAACCGCTTTTAATTGGTTGTCATGATTAATATACATAGAGCATTATGTTGATAAACAATGATGTTTGCAGGACCCTACAATATTTCAGATTGTTGCCATCATACCATGTTATTTTATCATAATTTTAGAATAATTGAATAATTATAATAAAGTACAAAAATTAATAATAGTGATTAAAACATACACAAATGATTAGGCACAAGGACTACACAAATTTTACAATAATGGATAATCTGTATTATGTAAAAATACAATAAAATTGTTTAAATTAACTATTTTTCAGATTAAAAGTGAATAATTGTATGCAAAAAATATGTGTACTTATGAGACATTGTGAATCAGAAATTGAAAAACGTAACCAACAAGTAGAAATATTACTACAAGCGTATGAAAAATATCAAAACTATAGTGAGTCATTGCGTTCCATACTTCGGTCAATGAAAACAGTGCGTGATGAATTGTCGTTATATAGTTCTGCTGACCATTAGTATCATTGAAGTCCAAGTTCAAAATCTTACTAACTAAAAAAAAAATTATTATTTTATGATTATTATTTATATTTGTTTTTATTGGGTATCTTTTAAAATATACTACTTGTTTTTATCCAATTACATACAAATTCAGCATGGCTGGGTATTGTGGTTAGAAATATTCATAATTGTCATTGTAAATAGCTATTTTGATTACAATAAATAATGTATAGATTCCAAGTTATAAAATATGTTAATTTCATTGCCATAATGCCATAAGTGTATATTTAGTGTATCTTATAATAATAATTTTGAATGTTTTAAATATTGTATATAATATATTAAATTAACATTAGTTTAATTGTTTTACACCTTATAAATGTTTTTTTTTAATTCATTAAATGGTTACTGAAAAACTAACAAATTTAGCAAATACTTACCAATACACCCTGTGAATACCATATATCTATTTTTAAATCATAGAAAAATACTATAATAACAAATTATAATAATTACCTAAACCTTTTCGAATACTAACATAATCAACTATGTGCCATTTGGGATACTTGTTATATTTATCACTAGAGACTGGATTTTTTTATGTTCTAATAAAGGTTGAAATAAGGTATTTTTATACAGTAAAAATATAGGGAAATGTTTTTTAAATTTTAAAATATATATTTTACAAAAAAAATAAAAATAAAAAGTTTTTAGTTATACTATGATTGAAGTGTCAAAAACTCAATCTTGGATAATCAAACTACAAGAAAAACAATTCAACAAACTTTTAATGTATTAAATGTGTGTAAAAAAAAAACCAAACTAAACTAGAACAAATGTTTCATAAGAAATCAAACAAATGAGAACCATTAATGACAATATAGCATAGATAGTAGATACATCTCTATATTTTATCAATGAGCACAGATTGTTGTAGAAGAAAAAATGTACACACACTCCTAATACTAACAGTATATTAAAACGTAATAAACTATTTCTATTTCCTGTTTACTATTTTTTTTTCAAATTGTTGCCTTGTTATTTATTGTTTGAAAAGTAGAAATATTTCTAAAATATATCATTAGGTATAAAATATTTTCTAATATCTAATTATGTCTTTGTATGCATAATATAATTGTGTGGTATATTTGTTGTAAATTGAATAGTCGAGAAACCTCATCCAAATGATATTGCATAACCACAGTAAACAAAAATCCGGTCTTTGTAATTATCACACAAAATATTATTACAATTTGTAAATCTATTAGCGAATGGTGTTTGTAAGGTGAGTAACAATGGTAGGTGTTTGGGCAATCAATAAATCAGTTTAATCATATTATTTCTGTACAAATTTCATTACTTTCCATTAATCTATGTTTCAGTTTAAAAATTTGACTTTTATGCTACAATTGTGGTATGTACATACTTACCAATAACTACAGCTTTCTATTATCTTAAGTCAAGCCTCATTTATTTTCTTACAGTGTCAATTATTTAACTCTCTCACAAAATCCTTTGTTTTTGTTCACATCAAGGGCCAACATAAATATTTTGTATTCTTTGTTCAAAATGACAATCATACATTGCCAGCTTACTAGTGTGCATGGGTCATGGTTGTGGCTTCATTCAAGTTAAGTGGTTTCACTGGTTGACTCAGTAGGATAAGAGTCAGACCGTTTTTTTTTGGACAAAAATTAGTCGCCGCCGAGTTACAATCTCATTTTAAATAGTGTATGGAACTTTTTTGTTTGATGTATGTAGTTAAGCATCCTGAATACGATCGTGAAGTTAGAATTGGTCAGACTTAGTTTTAAAGTTACAGCTAACTGAAATTTATAGTATTTTCATATACACCCAATGTCGTCACTAGCGTGTATGTACAATTAAAATCGAAAACATACCTACACTTGTTATGTAAAATAACCACCTTAGATGAGTCTTGAACTTCAAAAATAAGTCCAACTGCCAAAATCTGACTTCACCATTGTTTTCTGTAGTTTTAACTACATACGTTTAAAAAAAATGTATCCAGTAAAACAGAAATATGCAATGTCGAAACATAACAATGTACACCGTTACATTACACAAGTACACAGTACGTGTACCCATTAAAAATTGTTGCATTAGAACTTAAAGCCTGAATATAATCTAAATAAATGTTTATTCTATTATTATTTCAATAAAAAAATGTCCAAATGTTGTATCTATTTGTAGACTGTTTGATGATCTACATAAAGATGTAAGTAATTTATTGACTTACCTGTTTGGTGAAATTTCTGAGTTAGTATTAAATGTAATACAATCATAGTTTCTAGTTAAACCCATATCACAGCAAGCATAGTTTAATACACTTAATTATAAGTAGAAATTGTTAACTTTTTAAGATTAAGAATTTTTTAGATGCTACGCATACAATTAAAATATATTTAAAAAATTAATCTTCAATAAATAATCATCAATAAAGTAGTTACAAATTATTTTTAATCTGTAGATCATATTATAATAATAGTTGAAGTTCAAAACGATTGAACATAAATTTGAAAATAATTGTATTTTTATTTTTTATTAATCATTTTTTTTTATCAAAATGAAGGTAATAAATATATAATTATTAATTTAAAAAAATATGTTATATTGTATATTAGCCATTAAACTGATTAAACGGTCATAAATAGTGAACTATATAACAAATACAGTTACTCTATTGATATATTTGCATTTAAAATGTATTATTATTATTTAATATATCAAGTTTCTAAAGGTAAAAGTGGTATTATCCTGAACACAATTGTGTCCTATAAGAATATGAAATGTTTTCACTGAAATACGCTATATTAATAGAATATAGTTCCAAAAAAAATGTATTGAATATTATCAGGTAGTATAAGACAGGTTTATAAAAATAGGAACAGAAAGATACACAAATAATAATTATAAAGGATATCAATTATATTTTTGATTACTACATAAATTACACAAAAGATTAACTTACTGGATTACGGTTTACTTAATAGAGCAATACATTAAAGGATGGCTGGAGGATTATCTAAATAGTAAATAAATATATTACTATAAAATTATACATTAGATGTAGTATATAATTATGCATTGATTTATATGTAATATATTTTTAATTACACAAAAATTTAGTTTTGATATTATTATTGTTATTTTGTGTAAAAGAGCGGTTTTTTTTATAAAAATTACAATTATTTTATTTTATTCATTTATTTGTACAATTAGAGCTCTAATAGTTAAAATAAGATCCCCAGGACTAGAAAATTTAACAATTAAAAAAGGTTACATTAATTAAATGAGCAGATCGAAAATTTATAGTATAAATGTAGATAATATTATTAAATTTCTTTATTAAAAAATATAAAAATGTATATATAATATATGGAAAGCCAATGAGAAAAAATGTTGTTTTTTTATTATTACATACAGTATTTTTCAATAATCGATTGTATCTATTTAGTATAAATACAATAAAGATATAAAATCAAAACTTGTTGACATGAAATATTATTATTAACATACAAAGCTTAAGAATAACATTACAGTTTATTATAGTTTATATACATATTAATATCATTTGATTTTTTTTTAATAATCATAATAATTTAGAGTAAAATAATTTTGATCTTAAAATTTAACTGATAAATATTCAATACTCCTTAATCAAAATGATAATATAATATGCATATTTATTTATAGTACTTACTAATTTAAAAAACATACTCAAAATAAAATATTGTTTATTTAGAATAATAATTTCATGACTTATTATTTAAAATGATAGTTAAAAATATAGTAATTACTAAGTTAAATACAAATTTTAAAAATGCTTATTACTGGGGATATATTTTCTTCATTTTCTTACAAGAACAAGACTTAAAATTTTAACATGGCTTCAGTACAGTACAATTTGAGAATTATTTATATCTATTGATTTTTATAGTATAAATCATATTAAAATGATTTAATAGAATCCATTTATCATAAATTAATATTAATAAAATTAATAAATATTGCATGGTAGTCTTGTTCTTGGCGAACTCCGTGTTATATTTTTCGTTGCACTGTAAATAATTACTTCAATGTAAAAATTTAAATGAGCAATTATTTATAAACAATGAAAATAAATAATTGTAACAGCTAATCACATTTTATGAGTAAAGGGCATGGGAATATTTCATTCTATAAATCTACCTACTCGATTGTTATTTTAAAATTGATAGCAAGATTTATAAATAATAGTTATAGGAAAATTAATTTATCATTACAATATGATGTTTTACTTGAGAATATTAGAATTAAGTTAGGTATAAGTAGAAAAATTATTAAAGCAAACTGTATTCTAAACTAGTTAGTTTAAATCCATATTTGAATAAGTTTATGTAAATGTAACATAAATATAATATATTAAAAGAAGTTGGTTTAAGTAGTATCACATCTGTCTTTTATTATCATAATTGAAAGTGTGGTTCCACTTACATTCTTTTAATAACCATGGGCAACTAAATGATCTCCAAGTTTTTCAACTACCAATGCAGCCTGTTGTGGTTGAACCGGATCTTCATATAATGAAACAACAATCGCTGAAAATTAAAAAAAAAAATGTAAAGATTCACCAACTTATATAGATTACAGATGGCAAGAATGTCAATAAAATTAATTTAATACTTAGAAATGTTATTTTATTTCTCATATAATTGTATTGTTTATAGTAATAAAAGTTAGGAAAAATTAAAAAAAATTTTCCTTAAAAATAATTATTTCAACATTTTTCCATAATATTTATATATCCTGACTTCTAAAATAACATCTAATTATCCACGAAAACTTATAGGTAGAGATAAATGGCTAAATTAATGGTCATCTATATAATTTGAGTGGTAAGGATGAACAATGAAAGTTAAGCATCAAAAAGGTAATGCAAAATGTTAAGAAAAAAAAACACATATAATACAACATATATACAAGTAAGGTAAACAGTAAACATTATATTATTATGGCAGGGAAGAAATGTGCTAGCAGTACCAATGTTGTCAGTGATGACACAATAAATCAAAAATAATGTATATATTCAATACAAGATCTGAATTTTATTAAATTAGAACTTACTTTGTTGAGTCTTCACACAATGAGCTCCAACTTTTCCTTGTTTAGCTCTTATAACTTTGTCAGTGCCCGATAAATAAATATAGCGAACGCTTGCCAATGTAATGCCTGAAGATGTTAATGTATCTTGATTTTCAAAGCCCAAAGCTATTTTGCTCAATTCCTCCTTTGATACCTATATAAAAAAAAAAAAAAAATCATTAATAAATAAGTTTTAATAATCAAAACATCTATTAGTAGTATCTATTTGACTTTCAGCAGGTATACATACTTAAATCATAAAATTAACAAAAAAATAAAAGAAGGTAAATAGATTTATACTAGTTATTTTTTCATACTTATGACTTAAAGATTTATATTGCTAGAATTTTATTAAGTATATTTTATTTGTTGCTAAAAACTTGTTATAATTTTAACATACCAACTTTATAAAATTTTGATTTGATCAGATCATACTTTGAAACTATGTTTATTAGTTGTCAAAACTGGCATACAGTGTGTCCAACCCAAAACCAGATTACATTTTACTTTTAGGTGTTGAAAATCTTGGAGGAAGTAATGGTAAGACGGGCCACTTTACATAATGGTTAGAAAAGGAAAATTGGGGTTAAACATGTTCATTTTATTTACCTATTCAATAGAAAAATATTCCGTTAAATACATTTATTATACCAGGGCCACAGAGTGTCTAGTTTTTGTTTTGTTTCTATTTTAAAAACAATTTAAATTGTCCCGTCTGTGTTGGAAAAAGTTGAGTTTATGTTTTTTTTTCTTTTATTTTAGGACAATCAGCTATAGCTATTATAATTCGACAATTACGAAGAGTTTATGTTATATTCTCCTATGTAGACCTAGCATTAGATAGAAATGTCTTCTTAAATTATATCATAACTAAGTAAACATTAAATTAAAATGTTAAATGTTGTGCTAAATATGAACAGAAAGCAATAATGATAAAACAAATATGTTACACACAAAGACCGGTCTCTTAGTAATATATATTGGTATATCACATGATATAAAATAAATTAATCATATTATTTATCTTTTAATTCATTGTAACAGTTTGGCAAGAACAGTTCTGAAATGTTTTCAAAATGCCTTGTTGGTACAATGTTAAATGGATAAGTGTCTAGTTTTCTTGAACAAATCCAAGCTACACAATGGATATAATATGAAATAAGTTTAATAAATGCAGATTTAAAATGTGTAACATTATATTCAGTCGACACCTCGGTAGCCGTATGGACATAATTAAATGAGGGCTATCGAACTGTCGATAAGTTAGGAGGAAAATTAGTGCGTCTAACGTACCTATGAGTTGGATACACGACACCGATTTGAAAAACTAAAAGTGAACAGAAAGCCCAATGTACTGCATCAAGATCTACACACACTCCAACGGTAGTGGCTTAACCACTGCCACCACCGCCATAGTGTGTGCGGACGTTCAATTAGAACGCAGTGGCAGCGCGAAGGTAATTTTTTGAAGCACAGGACTCAAGGCCAGTTTAGGGTTAGTATGGGGTGGATAAGTAGGATGAGTCGGACGTAAAATATTTATTATTAATAATTAATGCGGGCAGAGGTACATATTAATATTCTATTTCGTTATAAGTAGTATGGTAATGGGGTGGGTGTTAATAATTAATATTTTGACTGTAAAAAAAAATGTAATGAATGGCGTCGCCACGGGTGAACGGCCCATAGGTTAACCTACAACAACTGTTTATACTCACGTCGAATCCGTCGGACTTGGCCCACACGTTGCCATCATGGCCGGCGATCGCGGCTTTGGTGACGCACCTGGAAGCCAGTAAATGTTTGTCGACGTAATCTTGCCAGGACGACATGTTGAAGAAATTAAGGGCGGTTGTTTGTGCGTCGTTTACTGATGTGTGTGCGCGAATTTGCGGGGGGCGGTGGCCGGAAAGCGCGTGGTCACCGGTGGTGCGAAAAGTGTGCGGAGAAGAAGACGGTCGGGAAAGGAGAAAAAAATAGGACAGAAAAGAGAAATGAGTAGTTGTCGTCTCGCACCGGACGGTGATGGCAGTGTGGTGATGCGTCCGTGTTAGTGTGTCAGTGTATGTGTGTGTGTGTACGCGTTTTTGTACACGCGCCGTGTGTGTGTGTGTGTGTGTGTGTGTGTGTGTGTGTTTGCCTGCGCGAGTGTGTACGTGCGTGTGAGTGTGTGCGTGTACTTGAGTTGGTCACTATAATTGGGCCGTCTGCGCGTGCGTCGACTATCGCGTTGTCGTGTGCGTGTGCGTGCGAGCGACACCCGGCGTATACATTATATAATATTTTATACACATAAAAGATTATTATTGGATGACGGGCAGAAAAAACTACAACGTCGTACATTGTCTAACACACCGCGTCATCGGTGCGTACCGGTGCGCGGACCGCATCGACGTCACCGCTCACAGTTTCTACCTCCATGACATTATGGCGCCTAAATCAAACCCTCGGCCGGCTTCTATTATTATTACCGAAGAAAATAATTTCTAATAATTTGACTGAATATTAGGACGAAACTCACGTGGTTTGTGGCGTTTGTCTTACTAACGTACACCATAGCAAATCTGTGTTGAGACTTGAGCCCGGATTAAAGGGGGGCCAAGGGGGGCACGGTCCCGGGGCCCATTGATTTTAGGGGCCCATCTTTATCACCAAAATATATTTTTTTAACGCGTCCAATACAGTTTTCAAAAAAAAAAAAATTATTTAAGTAGGTAGGTATAGTAGGTAATAAAAATAAATATGTTCTCAATTTTATACCACCAAATATTACTATAAATAATGAACTATGTTTGCCAATAATTTTGTTTGTTCGTTTTTTTTTTTTTTAACTTTTTAGATTACCAATTTAACTATTTAAGTGTATAAAAGGTAGTTATAAGAAAAAGTTATTTAGCTCTTGTAAATTAGGTATTTCAGTTAAAAGTATTAATGCATACTAGTGATGATCAAAACAAGACCAATACCAAGACTTTCAAAATCTTGGGCTTGGTCTTTATTCTGCAGACTCAGTATTGGTCTTGAGCAAGACTCTTGCAAGACTCTTGCTATTTTCACAAAATATATAAAAAATAACTAAATACCTGTTATAACTGTGTGTAGGTTTTTTGTTATGATCTCTAAGATGAAACTTATCGATTTTTCGAAAATAAAATAATTTTTCAGTAATTGTTAATTAGTATGAACAACTATGTTATTTTGTAATATCAATTCCCATTATATTTCTAATCTTTTTTTCAATAATTCGCCATTTCCTCGAATACTGGTCAAATTTCATAACAATACAAATAAATTCTTTTTATTTTCGTAATAAATTATTAGTTAATGAAATCTAGATACAGTAATGTGTTTTCGGGAAAAAAAAAAAATTTGCAAGACCGCAAGAGTCTTGCAGTGATGGTCTTGTCATGTTCTTGCAAGCCTAATCTTGGTCTTGGTCTTGCAGCAAGAGTCTTGCGAGAACGCAAGACCAAGACCAATTTTGATCGTCACTAATGCATACTTTAGAAGATCATAGTTAATGACCTAGCTAACCAAAATTGATCATTTGACTGTCAAAATGTATAGAAAAAAAACTTTAGCGGAATCCATAAAAAACATAGTGGTTACCATTTGAAAAAATAAAGTCGATTTTATTATTTTTACAACTGCGTGTTTAAAAATGTTGAATATGTTATAAAATAAATTGCCTGTTAAAAATAAAGAAACGATTGTCTTTTTTTGTTTTAACGAAATTCCATATCATGGATCCATACCTAATTGTTAAAATAAAACAGCATACAATGACATAAGATACACCCTTTATATTTTTTTATTTTTGTATAGTAAAAAATTATACAATAGTATAAAGTCGTTAATATGTAATGATACAATTATTTTGAAGTTAAAGTTGAAAGGGGGCCACTAAGTGTATGGTGTCCCGGGGCCCAATTGATCCTTAATCCGGGCTTGGTTGAGTAGCTCAATTTTGTTTAGACAGTTAGTAGTTACAGGCATGTATTTACAGTCAATTTAGGGGGAGGATAATTTATATTGACATAATATTATTATTGTGTATTAATATTTAATTGTATCAAAAAATAAACAAAATATGTATATTATATATATTTTTATTTTCATTATAACCCGCCGTCAAAAGCAATTATATTACAGCTCAAAAATGCTTATTGTTTTCATCACTTGGTCGGAGAATAATATTAATAATTTCAAAAAATATTTAAGTTTAACTATGAACTAAGAAAGGTGTTTTGCGTTGACATTATTGACAAGTACCAAGACCTTGTTTTAATAACAAGTACCTAGATTAATTAGATTTTGAAGAAATGTTCACTTTATTTTTAAATCTCCAATCTAGGAGAAAGTGATAAATGTAGATAATTCTACCTACCTAAAATCTTATAATTAATAATAAAATTGAGATCAGAAAAAATGCAAATAAAATAAATAATACATTTTTTCGGTTATAATTTATTTTTTTAATATGAGGAGTATTAATACTCAATTAAAAAAGTTACTAGACTCTTTCAAATGAATAGGTAGGTATGTGCAATAATTTTTTTTTACAAAAAGATAAAAAAAATGAAACGCTTACAAAGAAATCATTCATTTTTGTTTTACTTATACTTTTTTATAAAAACTATAATATGTTTATTTAACATTGCTTTTCTAGAAATTTAAGAGATAATTTAAAAATTAAAATATGAATAAAAGAAAGAATATGAAAGAATTCAGTGTACCTCCAAAGAGATTTTTGAATTTTTTTCTTTAAATTTGTGTTTTGAACGCTTAATGATGGTACTTTAAAAACAAATCAGTCAACTTTTCTGTAGAAGTTAATGTTAAAAAACTTAAAATTTTTTTTTTTTGGAAATGTGAGTTTTTCATTTTCATCGCTTTTTTGGAAGCAGAAATTGTACTTACAGTATATTTTATTGTTAACAAAGAAATTTAAAAAAAACTCCGACGAGTGGAAAATCGCAAACTCGTGGACTGCAAAAGTGTACTTATAGGTAAGTTTGAAACCAAGTCCGATCGACAAATTCTATTTGCATCACTGATTGTTCTTAACTCATTGAAATACAAATATTTAAAAAAAAAATAAAATTTAAATCGAACCATATTTATGTCACAAAATAATAGTTACCTTACATTTTGAGAAATAACTTTTTTTAGGGGGCTGCAAAATATGTTGCCTAGGAGCACAAAATGTTTAAATACGGCCCTGGCTAGTTATTTTATATTTAGTTCTATATTATTATAATATTATGACAATGACGTATTGTGTCATTATTATGCCCTACCCTGGAAACTATTGAAATTACGCCTTTGAGTGAGCTTTAAGATTAGAATGAATTGATCTGTTCTCAACCGGGTATAATAATATCATAAATCATAATCTATGTTTCCTCATGAGCTGTTTACGATATTTTCATTTCTAAGCACGTTATGATATATAATATATATATAATATACCTATTACCTTTATCTACCCAATATGATATTGGCAATATCCATAGTTAGCTTAAAAATTAAAATATCATAAAAAAAACCATGAAAATACACAGATAATGTTCTTGATGGTGTGTAAATTAATACTCAATTCACTCCATTATTAAAGATAACTAGGTATACAAAATTTGAACTGCTGATCACAAATTTGCTATGTTATAGGTACGTCTGAAAGATGGAGATAAAACATGCTGGAGTCATCATAGTCACGTACCTATAATTAAACCTATTAATTGGCACTAAAAGCACCTACCTATTATTTTTAATTTTATTGAAAACTGTTAAACAGTATAGGTATTCATATCTATATGAATCGACATCATAGCCATGAAGTCATAGCATGAAGCTATTCAATCTAGCGTGAAATTTAAATATAATAATATTTTTGATTATTGGCTTAATTTTGCCCTTCCGCCTCCGGTATCTAATCGTTGTTTAATAGACGTTTATGGATTTTTTAGGACGTTTGAAAAATTACTAGCAAAAAGAAAACATTTTTTGTGATATTTGAGAGATGAGTGTTTGGTAAATCGTAAATGTTTCTGGGTAAAATCCAGTGATTACATTACTTCGAATTTGAAAACGTTGCCTACATATATAAAATTTGCAAAATGCACCATCTTGTAGGTATTATTTAATATGCAACTATGCAAGGCTGGGCAAGTTAACTATTTTTTTTTAACTCGTTAAGTTAAGTTAATATAGAAAAATACAAGTTATGTTTGAAGTTAAAAGCAGGGCTTGAAACCGATATTTGATACCAATTTTGGGTACCAGTTAAAACCATTAAAAACCGAAAACAAAATCGAAAAAAACCAATACCGGTAAACAAAACAGAAATCGAAAAAACCGGTGTTCAAAACCAAAAAATAAATCAGAAAAATAAATACCGATATCCAAAACCGAAATCAAAATCGGAAAAAGTAAATACGATTTCAAGCCGTAGTTAAAAGTTACCTTTATTTTTTTTTTTACTTATGTAAAACTTATGTGTTTACTTATGTGTTTATACTTATGTTTACTGTATGTGTTTACTTATGTGTTTATACTTATGTTTACTGTATGTTACTTTTTTCATATAAAACTAATAAGTAGGTACCTACCTATGCCAATCTTTTTTTAAAGCTCGCAAATAACAGTGATTCAATATAAATATCTTACTATTTTTAATAAATGTATGTATTAAAACTAATTACTATAAGTGATAGCCGATAGGTATAGGTATACTTTAACCAATGATGAAATCCAACAAAATAATTAAATTATTTTTATTGATTTGTTCACGTAATGATTCACAACTATATTAAATATTATAAGAATCGAA